CTAATTAGCCTGAGGACATCGATGCGGAACCGTAAACTCCACATGTGGGTAAATGACGCCGCTTATGTTTTTACACCAACATTGGCAAGAGATCAACTTAAGTAAGACCAAATGATGGAAGAATTTAATAAACAGTATTTCACAAGTGAGAATATTCAATAAATTTGAAGTATCCGTATATTTTAGAACACCAAAAAATGACCAACAGGACACATACAAGCACCAGAAAAATGAGATCTCAATCAGAGAGCCATACAACACAAAATAACGTATTTTCAATCAATAATCTATCTAATTCATGATTACAGCAAATGCCTTTAGCTAGATGCCCGGCCAAAGGAGTTCGGCTACGACCTGCTCCTATTCTGCACAAAGTCGTTCCGCTGCAGATACAACGGACATTCTGTTATGGGCACACTCCACGCCACCCACACGGACTTGAACTTCTGAATGAATTGAATTGAATTGAATATCTACTTGTCTGCAACATTTACTTCAAACATCTCAGTAGTGAAGTTTCCAATGCACACAAATATACAATCATTGGCCTACTTGTCTGAGAAGAAGATCGGGTTCGTCATCATCTGAATCAATGTTAGAATCCGAGTCTGGAGCACTTTCCCTCACTTTGTTCTTCTTGAACTGATCAACAGAAGGGTAGAGTTACCACCTGTTACTGCAGACATTGCTGAAATATTGACACAAAGGCATATTTGATCAGTTGAGCACTGATGTTCCATCTACTCCTTATCCCCGTTGGAGCAGGACAGGAGGAAAAGTACTGATTTGCATAGTTTGATGTATTGTATTTATTGTACTACGAATATAAATGCTAGACCTTGCAAAATCACAATATAAATATGTGAAGATTCAAATAGATGTGAAAGGCTTGTTCAACTGTTATTGGGGCACAGAGCAAAAAGGGGCAGGATTTAGAAAGAGTCAATTAACTCTAGTCCAATAATATAACTTCACAATACATGTATTTTACTTGCTTATTATTTTGTTATTATCTTTTTCACTTGAGATGCCATTTAAAAGGTTACCAAATGTCTTGACAATATTCATTATCATAAGAACACAGGTATAGTTGGTGTAGCTTAAGGATAACTGCAAGGTGGAGGTTAGTGAAGGTTAACAGAGTTAACATGCTGAGTCAATAAGTATCTAGGCAGCTTTGGAACACACAGCTATCTATGATTACACAAACTCAAACACATGCATGCACACACTGGGAGTGACTAAGTATTAAGCCCTCTTATAGATTATTGTAATACAGAGCAAACTCATAGTCAGCTCATCTATCTCTCTCTCTTCCTCTCTCTCTTTCTTCTCTTGGTTTATTTACCTCTTCCAGTTGTTGTTGCTGCAGTCAGTTTGTCCATAAGCAGTGACAGAAGTAAATGCGTAAAAAACAGTATTGAGAGGTTCTGGGTTACCGGAGAAACATGGCGGCCTCCATAGAGGAGGACCCGCTCCCTCTGTAGATAAAAAATTCTAAGGCAATGAAAACACAACAATTATTCTTTTCAGGTGATTATACACAAAAAACAACACATACAAATATGATATTTCATTTCTGACAATAGATCCTCCTAAATGTTACACATTTGACCATTAAAGCTGTAGTAGCTAATTTTTATGAAAATAACCTTTTGTCATATTTGCTGAAATTTTGACTATATGCTGACAGTAGTACAGGAGACAGATAATCTGTGAGAAAATCAGGTTCCCATGGCTCTTCCCAGCACTCCTAATGGTGCAAGAACCCACCAGGCCTGAATGAAAACAGACAGTCAGAGCCAAGAAACATAAAAAGACGCTTTGGGTTGGTGGCTTGAAGATAGTTGATTGCTGAGTCTCATTCCAAGTGTCAGTATTTGATGATCTGGGAAAGAGACTCAACAATCAACTATCTTTCTTAGCTCTGATTGGTTATTTTCGTTCAGGCACGATGGATTCTTGCAAAAACCATTAGGAGCACTGGGAGGAACCAGAGGAAGCAGATTTTTTTTCAAGATTATCTGTCTTGTACTACAGTCAGGATACAGTGAATGTTTCGGCAAATATGGTAAATGGTAATGGACTGTACTTATATATAGTGCCTTTTAGTCTTTCAACCACTCAAAGCACACTACATGCCACACTCACACACTGATGCCCACGCAAAGAACGTCAGAACACATCAGAAACGGAAACTAAGCATTCACATGTGTATGATGCGCAGCATTGGGATCAATTTTGGTTTCAGTATCTTGATCAAGGACACTTCAACATGCAGCAAGAGGAGGCGGGGATCGAACCGGCAACCTTCTGATTAGCGGTTGTGGATCTACCTTGGAGCCACAGCTGTCCCCAAATATGACATAAATTAATTTTATGGAAGTTATCTACTACAGCTTTTTGACAAATATACAAATACTCTGATAGATTCTGGAATTTTTAATGAGGAGGAGTAGATGACTTTATAACAACTTAAAAGTGGAAATTATAATTTTTTTCCTGCAGAAAAAAACCCAATATTAGACAAACAATATTGCTCCAAGCAGTATATATCTTAATACATTACTGTAGACGGTCTTTTAAAAAAAATCAGCTTACATGTGAGGATCAATATTTTAAATGAAAGGATATATCGATATGGGAGGTTAAGGAGTAAGATTGGGCAGGGTGAAGGTTGCAGTAGAGGAGAAAATGGCAAACTACAGAAAGACAATGATGGAAAGTGGGAAAGGAAAAGAAAGTCAGCTGTTTTTGTGTACTGACCTTTTTTCTCTCCTGGGCCTCAGTGTTGAAAAAGAAGCACTCTGCGTACTGGGGAAACAAAGGATATGGCATATCTAAACATACAAATAATTGTAAAAAGTAATAAAGTCATTAATAAGTAATTAAGTTTCATGGTGATATCTATTAGTTAAAATTTTTACCCCATTCACCTGTATTAAATTTTACAATACGTATCTCTAAAGGATGTTTACTCAAAATGAATTTTTCTAACATTCCAGAAATCTCCAGTTCAGTTGTACTTACATTAAACCTTCCGGCTTTCCACAGAAGGGTTTGTTCATATATCATTTATATTCTGATATATATAACATTTTAATAATAAACATGGAGGAAATTGAATTTTTTTTTATGGCTAACCATATATAACCAATAACCATATCTCCTGTTTGTTAAAAAGAGATATCCAACAATTCCCTACATAAAAACCTACCTTTAATATGTCAACAAAGTGACACAACAATGTTGAACCTGGCTTTTCAGTCCAAATCAGTGCATTTTAAATTCCTCATTTGCATTATTATTTATAATATTATATACTGTATGAATATTTCTTGTAAAAGACTGATGCAGAAGTCATAGTAACCTGGGTGTTGTAGCTGTCCAGTAGGAGCTGGACAGTGTCCTGGTCTCCTTGGGTGATGCTTTCAATGATCCTCTCCATGTCTGGCACCATGCCTGCAGCCCAAAAATAAATAAATAAATGAAAAACGGTCCGGTGCTTAGAAATAACAAGCCATTATCACCCAAGAGGAGCATTTGAAGATCAATGTTATAAATATTTAATGAAAAGTAACATACCTAGAATTTGAATGACATCGAACCACTTTGCATAAAAACTTACTCCAACACAATTGACTATGAGTTCCTGCACTCACCTGTTGGTGTTGTTAAGAGCGGTGGACACTCACAGCCTCTGACAGCCTCTCCTCTCTGATAAAACAATGGCTCCATAATCTCATTTCTCTTCTTGCCTCACACCTTCCCTCCCTCCTCACACTCTAAACCCAGGATTTATTCTGGCCACCTACCAGCACTCTTCAGCTGTAAGTGAGAAAGTCCTCACATGCCTTCAGCAGAATGTGTGGAAACATCCTACACAGCTCAAATCTCTACTCGTACACATGAAACACCAAAGTCTAAAGGGCTGACTGACAGGAAATTTAACAAACAGATCCATCCTCAGGCCAAAATGTCAATTTTGTAAACAACTTAATTGACTGTAATCAAATAGCTAATAATAATGTGTATGGAATGGACAAACGAAACACTGGCTGTAGACAGGGCCTTTTGTGTTTTTTGCACATTTTGCAGCCAGCGTAGTTTCTCCTACATGCTTGGAACACACATTGTATTTAGTTGGTTGCAATCTGCAACTTCACCACTAGATGCCACAAATCCTACATACTGGACCTTTACCGCATCCTGAAGTTTGCCATGTCATATGGACTTTTTCAGTACAGAACCAAATCAGCTCTAACTGACAGAAGTCTTTTTATCTTTTATCTTAAACTCTTGAACTCAATTGTTGTTGTTGAATAAGAACTACCTAAATGAAAAATGTATTTGATGTGTACTTTGATTTGTTTAGTTCAGCCCATGTTCCCCATCTGCTAACATAGAGGCAACAGGCTTTATTACCTATATTGCAGTCATCCACCAGGGAGCGATTGATGATCATGGCCAAACTGTATGTGATCACTACTCCCTTTTTACATCTCCCAGCAAAGATCAAAGCTAGTTCACAGAGAAGAAACTGAAAGGTAATTTGATTAACAATTGCACTTCATTGTACAATCCTATATTACACGACAATTAAGCTGAAAACACTGAACCTACCTTCAGGATCTTTATAGTTTAGTGAAATGACTTGAGCAGAGGTGGTTTATTCATCGTCACGTTTATCATTTGAACAGTTTTATTTCATTATGTCAAATACAGGAATTTCATGTACAGAAGAGCAACTGGGAACTAGAGAATGAAATAGCTGTACAATATTTACACATCATCAACAACAAAATTGCTCTGCAAGAATATCCTCTGAGAGGTCAAATAATAGGAAATATCCATCAACAACAAACAGATAGAAATGACTAACATTAAACACTGACATTTATGCTTTTGGATCATTTCACCTTAAACTTCCTTCATGAAAGTCGTGCTTTATTTTTTGTGCCTAATCTTTACAGGCATTAAATCCTCTCTCTAATTGTCTTTTGACACAAACAGAAAGAACACAGCTTAGTTTTAAATACTTTTCCCTTCAGTCTCAACTGCTGTTTAACTGAGACAGGTAGACTATCACATAGTCCTTTTAAACCTTCTTTTGTCTCGCTCAACTCTAGTTTTATCTCCGTCGGTCTGATAGAAGCAAAAAACTGCAAGAGGGCCATTTTATGTATACCCCTTTAAAACATTTTTCAAAAATAAAAACAGCAAACAATCCCATTTTAGGACAGTCATTTTTAGAAATGTCCTCGTATAAATAATACAAATCATAGTTGTCATTACATACTTATAGACAGCTTGTGTGCGTCTTTCAATACTCTTTAGGTCTTGACAAAAATCTCTTTTGTAGTGTTGACCAAATTATCTTGTGGTCCCTTTCTTTGACTTTTGAGGAAAATTCATCACATTCACATAGTTCACTAGCTTCTATTTTTCAATAGGTTTCTTAAAATCAAGAGGTACTTTACTTAATAATAAAACAAATATTTTAAAAGTTAAACCTCCCCACAAACAACCCAACAGTGGCTGTTCTCACTCTCGATCAACGCACTACGAGCATCCGTACAGTTTCAGTAGCGTGATTCTTTTGTTTCACAAACTCTGGATGCCTTCATCTACCTAACACTGCAGGTGGATGTATGAGTTTGGTGGCCCAGTGATGCAGTCCTCCTTCAGGCCTTGGTGCTGAGACTAAGCAGTTCCATGAAGGAGTTAAAGAGGCTCTCCAGCCAGCCCTGGTTAGCCATGCACTGCTGCACCACCTCCTCCTGGCCGGGGTCCTCCGCTGCCTGCTCGATACTGTCCGTCTGCTCAGGAAACAACAGGTCAGTTACATACAGTCAATGGCTGTGGTGAAGCTCTACAGAAAACAAATCAATGCTGTAATACCTGGCTTATAACTGCAGGGCAATATTTTTGTGTTTGAAAGTGGGTGAAGGTCAGAGATGTAGCCAGAGGGACTTTTTGAACTATTTGAAACTATTTGAACTATCACTTTTGTTGAACAGAGCCTTTTAACATATCACATTACTACATTTATTCTGCATAAACATATTTTACTGGTTGGTACAGGAATTATGACAATCAGAAAAAGGTACTGTCTTGATGAGTGGTGTCACCAAGGTCAAGCATTTAAAATTTTCTAATCAATTTTTTAGCTTTCCCAGATAAAACTGATCTTGTAGGTTTTGTCTTGTTTTTTCAAATACTTTTCAAATAGGATCAGTCTGATCCAGATGACATGTACACAAAGTAATAATTAATTAAAAATTTACTGAAAATCAGACATTGCTTTTGAATTGTGTTTTAACAGAATCATTTTAAAAAACAAA